ATGGTTTTGAAAGGGCGTGGATGTTCTAGACACATATCCACACCCTGACGCCAAGAGATATTCTGGATACATATCCACACCCTTCTTGAGGTTATCTTGAGATGATTTCGGGGCTTTTAGTGTCCCCGCGGCCCGATCCTCGACCAGGCCTCCACCCCCAGGAAGCAGCCTGTGACAGCTGACTAACACCCAGGTACCTATTTTACTGCTAGGTAACAGGGGCATAGGGTGAAAGAAACTCTGCCCATTGTTTCTCGCCGGCGCCTGGGATCGAACCCAGGACCACAGGATCACAAGTACAGCGTGCTGTCCGCTCGGCCGACCGGCTCCCGCTCTGACGCCAAGCAATGTTCAGGACCCATATCTACACCCTGCAGGACACATATCCACGCTCCGACGACAAGGAATATTCGGGACACATCCACCAAGATGCCAGAGTATAGCAGGGAAGGCGACACAGGTGTATTTTGGTGTACTCTTGCGTGCGGTCACGGGTGGATAGCCCCGCACGCTGCCGCCGGCGGGTACAGGGTCTAAAACCTAGCCAAAAAAAAAAAAGGTATGTGTGTGTGACATCACTATGACGTCGTAATGTTAATGGGACGTAAATTAGATGTAACGACGTAATATAATAACTTAAATGCGACGTAGATGTAAAAAAAATAATGTGAGGTTAGGTTTTAGAGCCTATACCGGCGTCGTCAAAGTATTGGACGACGAGTCGAAAGCCAGTGTTCGTCCACGGTGGTATAACTATTAAATAAATTATAATAGTAAACATTAAAACAAAGTAACACTTGTAAAACTAATAAGCAAGAAGTAATTGAATACGAAATATCTAAAGAATAATAACTTGAGAGTAAAAATGATTCACTTGCTTAGCGTACATATAAACAAGACGCACAGAGGAACTTATCAACACGGAGCAAGGAGGCTACGATGATGATGTAGCCTCTAAATTAAATTAAAGATGTATACAATTAATGGTGTGTACCCGTGTATAATCTGCCGAAGACATTGATGCAGTAATGCATGGAGATAACAGGCGGCGCAGTAGACTGTAAAATTAAAATAGAGATGTACAATTGTGTGTGCATGATAAGGAGCGAGGGTGACACCAGGTCTCCCCCCATTCCTTTCCCAGTGTTTTCTATGAAGCTTTTCAAGGTAAACTAAAATATTCACAATCAATTAGTATGTCACATATGCACTTATTAAATAAGCCAATATTGACTATAAGCAAGTGCGAGAACGGGTTGTCCCAGTACATTACACACATGGATAGTTTTATACTTTATACTTCATTAAATGTTATTTTACTAGGTGTACATTTATGTTTTCCTTATATTTTCTCTTATAAGTTAATGTACATTTTGTTTTAATTGTAGTATATTTTGGAAGCAGTCTTTCCTGTAAGCGCGTAATACTGAATATGTGACCGACAAGATTAGAATCAGTGATTCCAGCACGAGCCATTTCCATTTTTCTTGTGCTCTTCACTCCTCTCGACGTCCCTGAACGCATATTTATGTTGTACCAAAGGGGAACCTTTCCTGAGCTCGGATGATCTAAAGTCTTATGTTGAAACAAATAGATGGGGTCACCCTCCCCTCTCCTCCTCTCTCGGTTTCATATTTGCTATTTTTTTTTTCCTGGCTTCTATTGAGAACAAAGTCTTTGTTGATGTTAACCTTAAGTATGATGTCTACTTTATGTTGATGGCATACCATCTTGCAGATACCTGGCATGGAATGCTTGATACTGCTTGAGGAAGCCTTCGAGCGAAATTCTGTAATATATATATATATATATATATATATATATATATATATATATATATATATATATATATATATATACATATATATACATATATATATTGTGACGGTAACGCGTTGGTGTTCGGCTGTTCAAAAGCTAGGGGTATGGCCTCGTCACATATAGAAACAAAAAATAGAAAATCTGGAACTTTGTCTGTGGTAAGGTAATGAGAAGACACACAAAACACAAGTAAATTTAACAATGAAATTTTAATTACGTTAGAAAGCAAAACATGAATAAAATGGACATACAAATTCGTATAATAAAATCAATCAATCAAAATAGTAAGAATAATCAAATGACAAAATGAAAAGTTACGTTAAGACAAGTGAGTAATAACAAGTGAACAATATACAATCAAATAAGAGGTGCAGGAATATTGGCTTTAAGCTATCACCTCTCTTAGTACACGTAAGCCACAGCTTAGTCTACCAACGAGACGTGTTAACCTGATGAAAGCACTGGATATTCTGAGGACTGAGGTCGTGGTGGCCCCAGACATCAAGTAGTGTGGTGGGTGGAGTGCAGTTGCAACTGGACCCGCAGCCAATCAGCGATGAGCAGGCGACAAGACAGGTAGTTTGGTGGTTCGAGGTGGAGCAGGTGTTCCTGGCTGCATACGTTTTGCGCTTCTGGCAAAACTTGGTGTTGTTGTCGTTGTTGGATATTTCATCCATAC